TTACGCGGATGACACACTTCTGCTCGCCACGGGGGCGGACTGGGTTCGAGCACACGCTCGAGCCGAGGTGGGCGCGCGGCACCTCGTGTCGCGTATCAACGCCCTGGGTCTGAGGGTGGAGCTCTCGAAAACCGAGGCGCTGTGGTTTCACGCGCCTCGGCGACGGGTGCCCCGCCTGATGACCCAACTTAGAATAGGTGAGACGTCCATCAGGATCGGGACCCGGATGAAGTATCTGGGTCTCATCCTGGACAGCACCTGGTGCTTCAAAGATCATTTTAATCGCCTGGCCCCCCGTATAAAGGGAGCAGCATTGGCCCTGGGCCGGCTGCAGCCGAATAACGGGGGGCCAAGGGATGTGTCCCGCCGACTCTATGTCGGAGTGGTCAGATCAATGGCCCTGTATGGGGCCCCGGTCTGGGCTCGCGACTTCCGGGCGTCTCCCCATAACAGAAGAGCTCTTCTGCAAATGGGGAGACACATTGCCCAGAGGGTGGCGCGAGCTTACAAGACCACTTCGGCGGAGTCGGCGCATCTCCTCGCGGGGGTGCCCCCGTTTGATCTCCTGGCGGAGATGTACGACGAGACATATCGTCGTACACGCGACATCCGCCAGGGGGTCCGTGTCGGGGCATCACGCGTGAGAGACAGGGCGGTCAAGATGATGAAGCACCAGGCCTGGCGGTCTCTTCTGATCAAGTGGCAACGCCACTTGGCGGAATCGGAAAACGAGACCGTCAGGGCTATCCGGCCAGTCTTCGATGGCTGGCTGGATAGTTGCAGGGGTCTCACCTTCTGGGTGACGCAGGTACTCACCGGACATGGATGTTTCGGTGAGTACCTGCACAAGATAGGGCGTGAAGACGCGGCACGGTGCCGCGCCTGCAACTCCGCCCCGGACACGGCGGCTCATACCCTGCGGGACTGTCCCGCATGGGCGGGCCAACGCCGTGTGCTGAGGGCGGAAATAGGGGGAGATCTCTCACTGCCGGCGATAGTCCGCGCTATCGTCGGCAGTGAGGAGAGGTGGCAAGCCCTCTCCTCCTTTTGTTCGGACGTCATGTCCAAAAAGGAGGAGAGGGAGCGAGAAAGGGAGGAGATGGGGGACCCCACGCATGGCCCTAAAAGGCAGAGGAGGAGAGGGAGAGCGAGGGGTCCCGGGGCACCGCCCCCCGACTCGTCGTCGTCAGACCCGTCTTCGGATGTGGTTGGCGGCGGCGACCCCGGGGGCGGGGCCAATCGAGGGGCAGTTGCGCGAACTGCCCCTCCGACGACAAGGGTGCGAGCTCGCGCGGCCCTTACACCTCCGCCGGCGGGCGGGGGTCGGAGGGGGTTGGTTGACCCCGGATGACGGGGGCGGGGGGAGAGGGACGACTGAAAACTCAGCCACCTCCCTGCTCTTCCCCCCCCCCGTACATCGGCCAGGAGGTCCGAGGGGGTTACCCTCTT